TGCGAACTGTGTGGTCACAGTTGAGACCCACTGGTCTAGATGCTTCCCGAGGGACCCTCCATCCTTTGTATCTTCCGATTCTTTCCAAAAGTATCTTTTCTGTATTGTACTTGGACAAAACCCAGGAGAGAGGCCACTAGAAAAATCCTGGTCATTTCCTGCACACCGCTCCACGGTGCCCGCAAGTGAACAATCCGCAGGCCCAGGGCAACAGAATGATGTTTGAAGGACATGGGCTTGGGGGGCCAACCCCGGTTGGAACCACAGCTCATCCGCTTAGTAACCGCATGCTCTTGAGCAGAGTATGTCGCTCTTCTGAATTCCAGAGTTCTCCGTCTGAAAAGGGGCCTAATAGAGCTTTGTGAGAGCTGGAGAAGATGTCGGTAAAGTGAGTGGTAGACACTAGACCTCAGAACCGTTGTTGTTGTTCTTGCTGAACATGGGCGGGAAATAGATGGGGCTGGAGGAGAGGCCTCCCTCTGGAGGCCAGCATCCAGCATCCAAAATGCCTTAAGGCTGATCTTCTCCCTGCTCCACCGCGGCTCCTAGGTCCTTGCCCCGGGCTCCCGCCCAGGCTGGTTTCCGCATGCAGAGTCTTGGGTTTGATTTCCCACGAAGCCCTGGCTCAGAAACGCTCCCTGCCTCTCCAGGCAGTGTATGGCTCCAGCCAAAAAACCCAAACCCCACCATCTTCAGAAGACAAAGGAAAGTTGATATTAGACACCGTATGTTTCATAGTACTGGGTACTTTCAGAACTATAACAGCAGTGTGAGCTAGGAAATGTAGCTACATGTTCATTGTGTAGATGTGGGGACAGGCTTTGAGATGTTAAATGAGCACCATCCAGTAGAAAATCAGGGGAGCCACAAAAATACTTTTAAATTTCCTGGTGGCCACATAAAAAAAGGTAAAGAGAAGCAGGTAAGATTCATTTTTGTAATATACTCTGTTTAACCCAGTATATCTGAAATAGTCTCACTTTAACATGTAACCAACACTTGGAAATTATTTTTTTGAGATTTTATGTGTACGTAATCTCTACACCCAGTGTGGGGCTCAAACTCTCAACCCCAAGACCAAGAGCCGCAGGCCCCACAACTGAGCCAGCCAGGCATCCCTGAAATGGTTAATGAGACCTATTATTTTTTTCACAGTAAGTGTTGGAAATCAGTGTCTACCTTACACTTCCGGCACAACTCAATTCAGAGTAGTCCCATTCCGAGTGTTCAGTAGCCGCATGTGGCCCTTGGTCGCTGTAGCGGGCGATACGGGGTTCAGTGGTTAAACACTTCATCTCACATCCCACCAAAGGTAAAGGAGAGTGGAGTGACAGTTTCCCCATCCCTGTTCCCCTGTCCTTTTCACTCATCACCTGCCTCTCCATGGCTCCTCCCTGATAGGAGACAGAGTTTTGTGGCCCTGAGGGTGTGAGCTCTGGCATAGATTAGAGATTCGAATCCTGCTTAGTAGCTGTGAAGCCTGGAGCAAGTTACCTCCCGGTCTGTGCTCAGGTTTCTACACGTGTCAATGGGATGATAAGGATGAGGCCCACCTCATGAGGTCAATTCAAGGAGCAGTCGTTTTATTAAATCATCAGTTCAGTCAACCACCTGCCACATTCAAGCCCTCAGTGAATATTCAAGGGGATCTTCTTTTAAAGGAGTCCCTGCCATGCTGTCAAGGCTCATCTGCTACATGAAGCATGGGAGGCATGTGGGTCGGCTAAGTTCTTCTTAAATCAGCCCAATTCCCATGAACCTGCAGTTCCCAAGGCCAGGAGGTGGCGTGGAGTTCGCTGCTGGAATGTTCCTTGGTTTGAGGGTCTGGAGTCTTCCAGTGGAGCCGGACAAGGACACGGTCACTCTGCGAGATTGTCACTCAGCGAGTACCAGCGGCCCCTCAGGTGCCAGCCCCGTGTGAGGCACCAGGGGGACCCAGGCAGGCTGCAGCATGCCACCCCTGCCCTTGGCCTGGCATGATGCTGTGCTGACTTGTTACCCGTGGCACTGCCCCGTTTATCATCTCTGTGCCCTTGCTCCTGTGGTTTTCCCCTCCAGGGTACCTTCCTCTCCCCTCATTGCCCACTTGTCCAAACAAAACCCACCTCAAATGCCACCACCCCGAGCACCCCTCCCTGACTCTTGCCCCAGCCTCTCTCCTCACTCCCAAAACCTGGTGGCAGACACTTGCTCTTTCCATGTTCCTTTAGTGCCGTCTGCACCTCCCAGAGGCCCTTGGTACCTCCCATCCATCTTCTGGGTCCTTCTGTCCTGAGAGGCAGCTGCCCGGCCACACTAGCATCCCCCAAAGTCCCAGGCCAGCTCTGATTTACCTGCACATTCTTCCAGCATCTACGGCTCAGCTGGCGCTCAGTGGGTAATGAGACAGTGAGTGTGCAGAGTTCGTCTTAGCCCAGTTTATGTGAAAGAGCAGAAGCTGTGTCTTCCTCTGCAAACTCTCAGCAGAACTCCTGTCCAGTGCTGGGCAGCCTGAGGGCAACTCATCCAAGGAGGCTGTTTGAAAACACGCATTCCTAGACTCCACCGCCCAGGGATAGCTTCCTAGGTCTGGGGTAGGGCCCAGACAGCTGCGTGTTTTGTCATCTAAGAGATTCTACTGCGCAGACAAGCCCAGAGGGACCCGATTCAGACCATTTAACCCGGGGGAGCACTGGAGAGGCATAGACCATGCCGCTGCAAGGCGCACGTTACTGTGATTTCCTCTCACAAGTGACCGTGGAAAGGAGCTCTGGATCCGTTTGGTTAAAATGCAGTATTTAAGAAGGGAAGTCATGGCCGAGAAAGAAGACAGCCTGGGCCCTCCCTTGGAGGGGTGTTGGGTTCCCTGCTAGACACATAGGCTGTGCCCTTGGGGCAGTGTGCAGTACCTTCCCCGGGGGAATAGCAGTGTCAGCTTGCACTCGGAGCCTGCCGCCGGGACGTTTTGTCCTCACACCACACTCTTCTTCCCTGACAGGTCTCCCGTGATGGCCGGTGGACTGTTCGCTGTGGATCGGAAATGGTTCTGGGAGTTGGGTGGGTACGACCCAGGCCTGGAGATCTGGGGAGGGGAGCAGTATGAAATCTCATTCAAGGTGAGCCAGCTCTTTGGAAGCCCCCTTCTTTGCCACACCCCCTTGGCTTTCTGAGCCTGGAAAGACTCTGGATGCTCAGGGTTCAGCAGCCCCTGCTCCTCAGGTGACAAGTCAGAGGCCATGGGCCACTCCTTCTTGCGTGTGTATAGTGGACGTGGGGTGTCTCCTTAGGCTGCTAAGCTCTGACTGCCATTTACCTTAACGTCGTCCCCTTCTTAGGATGGCAGTGTTGGAATAAGACAGGTCTTGCTTCCAGTAAAGGTGGTGTCTCCCAGTGAGGTGTCCAGCAAACCAGCAGGGGGGAAGAGAAGCCGGGGTAAGTGGGACACACAGGCCTGGAGGGATGCTGTGCTTTGGGGATGGCCCATGGCCTCGCAGATTCCCAGTTAGCCTTAGTGGGTCGTGGCCACCCCTCTCAAGTGTGCTTTCTCTGTATCCACCACTGCTGGAGTTGGCCGTAGAGACCAGTGGTCAGGAGCTCAAGCTGTGGAGTCAGAAAAGTGTGGGTTCAAATCCCAGTTCCACCACTCAGGAGCTGTGTGATTTGGGGCAAGTTTAGATTAGCTTTCTCTCCTCGTCTGAAATGACAGAATAATAATACTACCTATCTTCCAGAGCTATTGCAAAGAGCGAACGAGATAATATCTTAGAAGTATTTAACATGCAACCCGGGGACACAGCCAGCAATTAAAAATGGGTAGAAACTATTCAAGATCCAGTGAGTAAATATTTACTCTATCAGACCAGCCCGTGTGCTGTAGAAGCTTGCTGACAATGGTAGTTGAGGACGTGGTGGTTACTAGTTAGCCACCCACCCTTCTGGGGCCACTTCCTCCCCTTCATTTGTGGGATTCCATATTGGTCTCAGGTGACGAACAGAGGCTCGGTCCCTCTGAGGGGAGGCTTAGCTTGTCCCGTGCCCCCTTATGTCTGGCCAGGGTCTGCGTCTGCATCCCCAGGGCCCCTGGAAGGGCATACCCCCAGCCCGCGAGGGATGGCCAGCGGCACCACTACTGGACCGAGCCCTGTGAATACACAACCCTGATGCCCCCCGAATCGGGCATCAACTTTTTAGGCGGGACACCGTGATTGAGACTTCGGTGCTGGGGTCAGATCCCGGCCCTGCCACTTCCAACAGACTGTGTGATCTCAGACAAGGAAGGCTCACCTCACTGAGCCTCGGTTTGTGCTGCCACAAAATCTGCTTAATGATATTTGAATCTTCACGGGGTTGTTCAGAGGATTAAATGCGACCATGACAGTTGGGTGCTTCCTAACAACGTCCCAAAGATTATGTTCGTTATCGACATCATTGCCATCACCATGTATACCTCTGGTTGAGCAGTTCAGAACTAGGGAACATAAATTCTTGAGTAGCAAGAAAAGAACTCAAGAACGACCAAAACATCGTTTGGGTTTGAAGGGCGGTCTGTGTCTGTTTTGCTTCCAGAGTTCTGAAGTTGTCTCTCCGAAGGGGACCAGCCCCTAACCTAACCAACACTCGCGTCCAGGGTTGGTGTTCAAAGTATTTAATGGCGATGGCGGCCCAGGCACCAACCAGTCAGAGTGGATACCGGCTGGACACAAGTCTGTGTCAGCTCTGGTCCACACAGCTGAATTTCAGCCCTGCTCGGAGCTGACGGGACCCTATGCCAAGCCCTTCACACGTGTTGGCCTTTTTAATCCTCTCAGCAACCCTAGCAGAGCGGTGTCATCATTTTACCCATTTCACAGGAAGACACGAGGGGCTCAGCCCAAGGCCCCACACAGGTGGAAATAGCGGAACCAGGACCTGACCGCAGCGGGGCCTGACTGCAAAGCCTGCGTTGTGACCTGCCACGTTTCCTGGGCCTCTTTAGGGACAGGAGAGAACACTAGAGAGGGAAACTAGCCTGAGAAGTTGGCAGTGGTCTTTCCCCCCTTTCTTCTGTTTTTGCCTCCTCCTGGGCTCGTTCTTAATTTACTGGGATATTCTACAGCCTCTCAGTGAAGTGAATTAATGACCGTCTAAGTGAGAAGTAGCAAATAGATTTCCTCTCCCAGCCATCTCTGATCTGCTCTGGGATAGGGGCGACCCAGCGCGGTGTTGATATGTATTCCGAAGCTGCATCCAAGCTGATCAGAACGAGGGTGGTGACTGATGAGTGATGTCTGCCATGGGTGCAGGTCTGGCAGGTGATGGCACAGATGTCATTGGGTATCCATAGCCCGGTGCAGTCTAGCTTTCCAAATGTCGCATCCTTGTGGGTACGGTGCAATCACACACAAGGAATCAAAGGACTTTTAACTTCGCGGTTTGTCAATACAGCCATCGAGCAAACTTGATTTATCAGGTTCTCTGCCAAGTGTGCCCAGAAATGGGCACACCTGTGTTCTGAGAGCTCACCAGAATGTCAACTTCGATAGGGTAGGATTGTTTGTGTGTTTCACTCACTGCTGTGTCCCAGGTACCGAAAGGATTGCCTGACATTGAGGAGGCACTGAATAAATACGTGTTTGTGACACACTCAGAGCAGGTAGATCGCTGGCCAGAAACCAGCCTCCATGGTCAAGAAGTCCCCCTTCAGAAACACCCTCTGTGGAGAATAGTGAATGGAGAAGGAGTTGCACAAAAGAATTCCCAAACCCAAAATGATTTCATTCTGTGTGTTTCAAAGACCTATCTAATGATGCTCATCAGGCAATTACAGCAGAACAAATGGCATTTTTCTCCACACAGTTTATTTACAAAAGACTTGGTAATGAAGCCATATTGGAAATCTCTCGTCCGGGAGGGGGGGTGGCGGCTGGCTCCTGTTTCCATTTGATCCAATTAATGTCCTTCACTCTCGAGGGGAAAGGGCTCTGCGTAATGAGGAGGCTCCCAGGTCTGGAAGGGAGACTTTCCTCCCTCAGTTTTGTCTGTCCTGGCTTTGAGAACATGGGTTCCCAGAGCCCGTGGCGGTCCATCTGCCTGTGCATTGTCTCCCAAGCCCCTGTGGAAAGCCTGCCACAGTGCGGAGGAGACAGGCAAGCCCATTCATCCGCCAGAGATGCCTCCCTGAAATGTGGGTGTTCATTTCAGCCAGAGCGGAGCATTTTCAAAGGGCCATATTCCCTCCGCTTAATCTCTGCTAAGACCCCTTTCTTCCTGGTGATGGACAAAAGAGACTGGTCTGAAAGGCCTGAGTGCATTTTCAGAAATTAAGATAAATTGATATGTGGCATCAGGACTGATGAATTAATAATTTGGCTCCAATTCCAGACTAGGCCATCTATCCTGATGGGAAAACCCTAGAAAAGGTATTCTAAGGCTCTGAAATTTCTGGAAGAGTCATTGATTCCCCCACCCCACCCCGACACACTCTCTCAGCCAGGAGACATATTGTTTCCAAAAGGCACAGTCACACCATGGAAGTTCTCCTGTTTGGCGGTTAGAATCTTCCCAGTTCTGGTGGCAGGTTAAATCTTTAACTCCAGAGCCCGCCTGTACCTGCCTCTGTGAGCTGACCCCTGCTCATTTCTCCACCCTCCATCCTCTTACCGCATTGCATTAGTCTGCACTCTTGGTTACAGATGACCCTAGTCATCTGATTGAAGGCAAAAATCAGAATCAGTTGGCTCACACAGTTGAAATTCCAGGGCAGACCCTCCAGGCCTGGCTGGATCCAGAGACTAACCCATCTCATCCGGTCTCCGTCTCTCTCAGTCCCTTGGCACAACTTTCATCTCGGTTGGCTTCCTGTTCAGGTCAGGCTTTCTCTCTGTGGACCCAGCATCCCACTGGAAAGAGAGTTTATCTTTCCCATCCTTCCTGTAGAAGTCCCCAAGGTGATTCTCACTGGCCTGCTGGTTCCTTGCCCATCCCTGAGCCATGTTCTGATTGGTCAGCTGCAGTCACATGTCCATCCTGGAGACCGGAAAGTGGAGATGAGCTGGTTCCCCAAACGAAAGCCCAGTCATTGTTTCTAGAAGGGGAATGAATGTGGGGCAGGGCAAACCACAGACGTCCACACAGATGTGTCCGCACAGCCATATGGAGCTGCTCACAAGCCCCAGGCTCGTGCGTCCGGTCATCTTTGGAAGCAGGCACTGTTCACTCTTCTGGAAATGCCTTTCCTTAGTCTGAGAGGCCCCCACTTAGCCTTACCTGAGCTGCCTGTGCTAACGAGGCTCCACCCCAACGTTACTCCTGGCTTAGCTCTGAATTCCTCATGTTAATTGTGACCCAACGGGTGACCTGTCTTACCCACTGGCCTCTGAGTTCCCTGGAGGACATTTCTATACCCAGTGTGTGGCCCACAGTAGGTGTTTTAAATAACTGTTAGTGGCATCAATTTGTATCTGATAAAACTTCCTTTGCCCTGCTCTTCCTAGACTTACCTCAACACCTTTTGGTAGTGGTGGTGTTGTGGGAAGGGTACTCGGTGAGAAGGCAGGGCACTGGCTTCTCATCTTGGCTTTCCATCCATCTGTTCATCCATCTGGGGATCCTGGACCAATCGCTTGACCTCTTTGGCCCTCACATCCCAGACAGTGCTGATACAGCTTTCCTACCTGCCCCGTGAGAGAGGATCGGATACGATGCTGTGGGGAAAGTCCCTTGACTTACACAGGTGCAAGCGTGGTTTGGATTAGAGGTGGTGGCAGTAGAACGAGCCAGGAAGGGGACTGCACCATGTCCTTAGGAGGCAGGGTTAGGACATCTTCATCTCTGAGATCCAGGAGACAGGATGCTTCCACCGGACAGTACGGATGAGCTGGCATGAGAAAGGTGTGGGCTTTGCAGTGGTGTAAGTGGATACCTCTTGTTAATAGCAATTTGGCTAAATCTGTTATGTACCAAAGCAAGCACATTCTTTGACCCAAAATTCCACACCCAGGAGTTTATCCAAGGGAGACAACTGCAAAGATGAGCAGAGATTTGGGTAGAAGTTATTTGTTGAGGCCTTACTTACAATGGGGGAAGATTGACAGGACCCAAATGTACATCCTTAGGGAATAAATAAAAGCACATCTAA